TGCCTCCCATAATGGGTATAAAGTTTCTGTGACTGTCTAATTGTCTCATTTACGGCGAGCGGAGGCAAACATACTTGCTTAGCATAAAATACGATTATCTTTGGGCAGGCGCAGATACAAGTAGCGGGCGCCGATATTATCTGAGCGGTATTCAGTGCAGAGGTAGCTCCGGCTCTCTGGAAGACGTGCCATGAGCCAGCAAAAGGTGTTGCACGCTATAATACAATAATACGAAGCGCCGTTCCGCTGTCCCCATTACAACAACAACAACAACAACCATTTATTTAGAGACAAAGTTGTCGACAGTGGTGTTATGGGGAGATGGCACAAAGGCCCACAGCCTATCACTAGGCACCATCCCCCACCCGGTTTGGTCATGTTAGCTTAGTCCTGGCCATTATATCGAGCAGCGACTGAAAGTTATACCGAGCTCCAACCAAGAAAAATCAAACAAGTAAACAAGAAATGAAATGAATACATTAGAACCGTTCAGCACATTTATGAATTATTAGAACCGTTTCGTGTCCAATAGGTATTTTTGGAAAAGGAACGCTACCCTCCGGGAGCAGTTCAATGTGTTAGTGTTAGTGCCGTATATGAGTGTATCGTGTTGTTCAGTAGATGTGAGGTGATTGAAGTTCCTGCCAAGTACAGTTGATATGCTTTGGAAAAGGTTTTGTCTGATTGTCGTGTATAGTGGGCAGTGTATTGTGAAGTGCATAGTAGTTTCTGTTTTGTGACCGCACCGGCAGTGTGGATGAGGATGTTTTTGTATTTTAAATAAGTGTGCGTTTAGCCCCGAGTTCCCTAATCTGAGTTGTGTGTGTAATGTGTTTCCACGTTTACTGCCCATTGTATTAAATTGTGGTGGCCTCTTTGCCCCAAGTGCTTCCGCGAGCTCTCTCTTGAATGTGTGTTGGGTTTCCTGAGACCTTATGTGTGCTGGTAGCTTGTTCCATTTCCTAGCGGTGTTGGGTAAGAATGACTTTTGAAACTGTGTGGTTTTGTTTTGAGGTAAGGTAAGTGAGGTCGAGTTTCTTAATGTTCTGGTGGTGTCAGCGTGTCGGTGATTGGGAAGTTCTGTTTTTATGTACTCTGGGACAGAGATACATTTGTAGAGGTGCCAAAGTAGCGTCAATCGGTGAATTTCTCGTCTCGTTGTTAGTCGGTCCCAGCCAAGTTCTAGTCTAAGTTTGTCGTTGGAAGTGCTAAAGTATGCTCCTGTAATAAGCCTTGCGGCACGGTTTTGTAATGTCTCAAGTCTTCGTTCGTCATAAGCCGTCAGATGTCCGTCAAAAATGGCGTCACAATAGTCGAAGTGTGGTCGTACATACGTCAAGTATATCTTCTCTATAACAGGGCGTGGCAAAAAGGGGGCAATTGCATAGAGTGGGCTTAGTGCTGTGTTTACTTTTCGTATTATTTCATTTACGTGTTTGTGGAATCTAAGGTCACTTGAAAAAGTCAGTCCCAAATGTTTGTGTGAGTCAGTCATTGGTATTGTCTGTCCAGCAAAAGTCAGGGTTAACAGGGGACGGGAAGGGTTGTTGCTGAAGGTTTGACAGACAGTTTTTGCAGGGCTGAATGTGATGGCCCACTGTCTTCCATACTCTTCAATAAGGTTGAGGTCGCGTTGCATGGAATTTTGCACATTGAGTTTGTTGTGTGAGGTATATGGTGAAAAAAGCGAAATATCGTCAGCGTAAAGCAAAGCGGTATTTTCTGTTTTGTCGGCTAGTCCGTTAAGGTATAGGATTGCTAGTAAAGGTCCAAGAATTGAGCCTTGTGGACATCCGGTATTTATTGTCTGTAGGGTCGATGCTGAATTTCCTATTTTTACCATATGTTGTCTGTCAGTAAGATATGATTTGAGCCAGTCGTGCACTTTGTCAGTAATGTGGAAGTCCGTTTTGCATTTATAAAGAAGTCCAGCGTGCCATATTTTGTCAAAATATTTACTGATGTCAAGGTATACTGTCATAAAGTGTTGTCCCTGGTCAAGTGATTTGTACATGTTGTGTGTAATGTGGGCTAGTTGGAGTTGAGTGCTGTGGTGAGGTCGGTATCCACTCTGCTTGTCAGAGAGAAGTCGATTGGTCGTAATATGTTCATATATCCTGTTGAAAATGATTCGTTCCATTATTTTTGATAGGGATGAAAGGAGGCTGATGGGGCGATAGTTGATCGGATTTGATGCAGAACCTTTGTTTTTGAAGATGGGAGTGATATTTGCAATTTTCCATGAGCGGGGAAATGTTGCAGTTTCTAGAGATTTGTTTAACAACTTAGTGAGAGGTTCGTATATTAAGATAGCAGACAGCTTTAGTATTCTGGCAGGCAGTTTGTCAGGACCAGTGGATTTATGCATATCTAATGTATTGAGGAGTTTAAGGACTTCTTCTTTTTCCACAATAATGTTACTTAACGTTGGTACCAATGTTGGATTTGTGTTCGGTTCTGGGTCTGGTAACATTGGGGTGTTGTCAAGTTGTGTTTGAGAGGCAAAGAAGTTATTCAAAAGGTCAGCTTTTTGTTGCTCGTCAGTTACTGTGTTTCCGTCAGTATTGTCCAGAGGTGGAATCCTTGCTCTGTGTCTGTTTCCTGTCAGAGTCTTCAATGTCTTGTGGTACTTAAATGGATTGTGCTTCAGGTTCAATAGTTTGTCGGCTGTTGTTTGGATGTAAAGTTTTCGTTGTTGTTTGTTTATAAAGGTTACATAATTCCTCTGCTGTCTCCATAGGTCCCAGTCCAAGGTTGTCTGTCGTTTTTGTGCAAGTCTAAAAAGTCTGTCCCTTTTCCTCATGCTATTTTTTAAATGGTTGGTCATCCATGGTTTATCTTTGCTGCTGAAGTGCACTGTTTTAGTAGGAATGGCTATAGAGGCTGCTTCTAATATTGCAGATGTGAACTTTTCAGTAGCAGTATTAATGTCACCTTCCAGCAATGTATCCCAATTGGTGTTAATTAGTTGTTCTGTCATTTTGTCAGCATCTAGCTTGTCATAATCCCAGATGGTGACTGCATTTTTTGATGTTTTTTGGGGGGCTGGAATGTTCAAAGTGGCAAAAACTGGGTAATGATCAAGGGTTGAGAATGGTGGAAGTATGCCGAAATCTGATATAAGCTGTGTGTCATTGGTTACTATCAAGTCTCTTAGATTGGCCACTTGAGCTGTTACTCTGGTAGGTTGGTTGATTAATTGTGTCAATCCAAGTGTGTCAAATGTTTCTGCAAGTCTTATGTCAAAGAGAGTTATGCCACTGTTTGCTGTAAGCACCTGATTTAGGTATATGTTTCCAGAGTTAAAGTCACCAAGTAGTATTATTGATGATGGTGAAAAGAGCTGTGCAGAGATTATGCTATCAGCTAGCCTGTCCGTGAAATCTTTAAGACGTTCAGAGGAGAGGTTTGGAGGCAGATAGAGGCAGCATGTCAGTATTTTATGTCCATTGCTCTTTACCATTGTCCAGACCCATTCTTCTCCATCTAGCTCAAGCTCAGGGATTCTGGTGGCTGAAATATTTTGTCGAATGTATGTAGCTGTTCCTCCCCCATGTCTAGTTCTGTTATTTAACAATGGTGCTTGGAAGTGTGGTATTTCATAAAGGCTGGGATGCACTGTGTCACTGAGTTTTGTTTCTGTCAGCATAAGCACATCAATATTGTTCAAGCTCGTGAAGAAAGTGAGTTCATCTAGTTTTCCAGGTGCCGTTATACTGTTGATATTGACATGACAGATTTTGATTTTGTCATCGTGCAGTACTGGCCCTGGGTTTGGTTCTATCCCTGCAATTAGAAGGAGAGTCAAAGCAGTAATGAGTGTAATTCTACCTAATTTTTTCCACTGTGATATGCTGCAGTTGTGTATTATGTCTTTGTGTGTGGTTTGGTGTTTGTGTGTTGTTTGGTGTTGCTGAATTGTGAGTGTGTAGCATTGTAGGGAGTGACTGTGATGTGATGTACAGTGATTGAGTGCTCCACGGAGGGTAGGTTTCCCAATTAAGTCAGATATAGAAACTGGCTCAAGGGAGGAGCAGGGTAGTAAATACAGGTTTATCTGCTGCACTATAGCAATGATATTAATCAAAAACCAGGCTGTGACATTCAGACACCAGTTGAGTGTTGGATAATAGCTGAAGGCTGGCAACATGCCTAACATGGTAAATAATCGGCTGACAATGTAACAACACATATATAATCGGTGTAGCAGAAAACAAACATATGACATACTGATAAAAAGCAACTAAGTGGATAATTAAATAAAATCATTGTCATCAAATCATTGTTGAATGCAAATATGCAAATGAGAAAATACAAACACATTACAGGTAACTATTATCAATAACTAGGTAACAAAATAACGTACATGTAATTAATACAAGATAAATCAAACTAAGCATTGCTAAATGGCTCGTAAGTAAGCGCAATACTTCTCAATCAATGGCCGAAGTCCATATGTCCATGACAGACCAACATGAACCTAACATGAACGAACCCACTGTCATCCCCACCAGCTCCATATGTTCACTTCCCACCCTTCCAAACCCAGCCCATTGCGATGTCAATGACCGGTAATTCTGTAACCGTGGTTTGGTGCTACGCTATTGTGAGCCGCTGCATTTCCCCGATATTAAAGCATTGCGGCACAGTATCGCGAACCTGCCAGGCGGCTGCGGGCGCTGCCCGAGGCTGAGCGGCGGCACTCGGCTGCACTGGGACCAAATCGACTCTTTCGACCGTGACATTCAGCTCTGGCGCCCAGTCTCCACAGTTTAAACACCCTGGCACCGGTGGCCCTGTGCGGCCACCCCCGGCCGAGGCGGGTTCGACCCGAATCCCGCCTGTGTGCCCGCTGGAATTCGCCTCGCAGCCCGACTGCTCGCCGGCGTTCCTTCACGCCAGCAGGGCCGGCGGCGCGCGGCGGCCGGCGCTCCCATTGGTCGACGGCGCCCACGTGACCAGGTAGGAAGCGGCAGATGGTTCGGCGCCGGCCGGCCGCCAGTCCGCCTCGGGAGCGCGTGGTGACGGGAGGGGTGCCGAACCGTGGGGTGTGTGTCGCGACGACCGGCGCGCAGAGTGAACTGGGTCGAACGGCAGCGGTGATCTACAGCGAGGGGTCAGACCAGTGTGAGTCACAGTGAGCGCGGTGCCGTACGACATACCGAACTTTGGAGTGCAGCTGCTTATGGTTACCTTTCCAAGTAAGTTTCACATTTTTTCGTGCAGATTTTCCTTACCATGTCCCCGCTGAAATGCATGAAAGTTTCTATTTATAAGATCACTGACTTCTCTGAAGGCTGGCTTTCTGGAAAATATGACCCCCGAGTTTCGATCGATCATTTGGACGTTGCGTGACCACTTCTAATGGAGTCAATGTGTTGGTGGCGTGAGCTCTTCCCAAGTCGCTGAGCCGGCATTGCTGCCCTGAAGAGGCCACTTTCTGACCAATCCGCTGCGCCACGGCCAGCTCACGTACTCCCCACTCAGCTGCTATAAATCAAATCAAAACTCGCTAGAATTTCACACCCATGTCATCTTTCAACGTCTTCAATTCCTGTCACTCCAGTTCCTTACACGTCTTTTGCAGGCGGGCCAACGCCCGCAGAAGCGTTTAGCTTCACTTCCACGGAATTTTCTTCCTCTGTTTCTGCAATTTACATGCAAGCGAGTGCAGTTATGGCACTTGCGCCACGGCACCGTTGCCGCCACAAGTGGCCAATTTGACGGGAGACCAGTGTGGTTCGGTGGCCAGGAAATTGACACGCTTTGTGATGTCAGGGCGAGGTGAAACCGCTCAGCAGCAGTTAACATACCCAGTAAGAGCGGATCCATTGATGCATGATCGGTCGGTCACGCCGCAGCATGACGCCGTGCCGCCGTGTGTCATATCCAAGTCAAATTGAGTTAGAGGAGACGGGCCTCATCTCCAACGCCAGCAGTTGAAAGACTGACAGGCAGACAACAGTTATACTATCGGACAGACCAGTAGAAAAGTCAGCGGCTTGGCCAGCAGACCAACCAGCTAGAGGAAAACTATCAGTTTCAATCAGAATGTGCATACAATCCGAATATAATGACGATCGTAACCAGACCAGCAGTTCGTCCAAAAAAATCAAACTGACCAGCATATAGGCCAGCTTGCGAGCAAACAGGAAGGCACGCGACTCAGCAGCTCAGCCGGCAGCCCATCAGGCACCCCCAGAGTTGTCGGGAGGCTGCGGAGTTGGGCCCCGGGCTGTTTTTTAGCAGAGTCTGACCGCCGTAAGATGCCATCAGTGGGTGTCCCTGAACTGGGAACCACTGCGGTGCGGATGTCAAACGCTGGACGCTGCACACAGGAGACCATGCTGGGTTGTGCCACGCCTGACGCTTGCTGCGATAGGTGTTTCATTAACGTCGGTTGGCTGTGCTATTTAGGAGTAATTCTCAACAAAAGGTATTCAAAAGCTGATGTCCATGGCTGTGACACTGACCGGCAGCTAATGCCGAGTGTTCTGCCTCACCCCACGTGGACAGTGGTTAGCAGTATCCTTACTAAACGGTGGGCCTAGCCGCTGCTGCTGTAGCGGACAAACAGTCCTCTCCCTCTCCTCCGCTCTTCCCACTCTCCTACCCTCCCCTCCGTCCCCACGGCCGCCCAAAAGCCGCCCCCTGCCGCCCGGTCCTTTCAGTCGGTGTGAGGGGCCGACCGACCATCGCGCCGCCATGGTATCTGACACCGTCCGAGCCCGCCGATCGGCCTGGGACGAGCGGCTGGGGTCGGGACGGGGCCGACCGGAGGGACGCAGGGGAGTGGGGAGGACCCACGAGGGACGAGCGGCCGAGTTTACCAGCCCTCTCCGGCGCGGCCAGTGAAGCGGGGTCGAGTTAGCAGGCGCTGACACACAGCCTTTGATCGGCTCCGCGCCAGGTGGGGATCGGCCGGATCGCGGGATAGGGTAACCCGAGCTAGAGAAGGGTGATACGAGCCGAAATTGACAGGAGGCGAGACGAGACGAGAGAGCGAGACGAGATATTGGGCTAGTTCAAGGCAGGATGAGTATAGTGATAAGAGGACAACCGTAAAGACAATAATGTTGGTAAGCGCGACGACCTGAAGACGTTGACGATTGTTGAAGATGGCTTTATTTATTCGTTTCCCTCTAAAAGGATATAGTCTGTTCGATTAGATATAATTAATACTTGGAAACAGCTTAGCGCTTTAGTAAGCAAATGTCTTGCCTCGGTAAAACTAATGACCTCTGTATAATTGCGAGTTTCTGTGGACAAAGTTTCGTGACAACTTTAATCCTTGGACCCTTATTACTTCAGAATTGATGGGCTTCTAGAGGACAGAAGTGCGAGAAGCTTTTGCGTTTCAGAGGAATTTTAAGCATAAATCCCGATCACGAAATGATCTACATGCGTCACGTGTATATTTCTTGCTAGCAAGTGAAACTGGCCGTCACCACGCACGATTCAAACGTTTGATCTCTTTCTTTACGCAAAAATAAACCATTGATCTATCGATTGTAAAAGTCGTCAGTAGCATCCTTTCATGTGGGTATCCACTTAGGAACTTTGGCACAACTTCAGCTCACACAAACCGGTCGTTAGATTCCTTCTTTCAACTGCCGTTTAGAGTTCCCGTAACCAATAAATCACACTCAACTGCTCGACTGTCGACGGCCTAACTAGCATTCTGTGTCATCGTCCTGGCCAACCTGCAATTGCCCGGGGGACAGGTCGTCGAGCCGGCCGATCGACACACGCGGCCCCGGTTCTGGTCTATCGGTTCGTCGCTCCGCCGTCAGGCAGTTTGGACGAGGTCGCGTGGCGGACGCACCGCCGGAGCCCTCCCTGGTGCTCTATCGAACCGACCGTGTGCGGAACCCCGCAGAAATCAAACACTCCGATAGCGGCCAAGTCTGAAGCAGCTGAAAACTTTCCGGCTCGCCTCATGGGTTATGGGGCCGCCGGGCTATAAAGTGCCCCCTGACGCGTGCCCCACTATGTCAGCGCCGGATCCATTACTGTATTAAACAGAGCCATAGCTGGCCTGTTGTTGAAGTATTCATGGCTGGCGTATTGATCAAACTTGTGTGGGTCAGATGTTCTGTATTGGCTTGGACCGTTTCAACGTGACAAAGGGTCAACAGCCACGGAGATGAGAGCTGAAGCAACAGCAAAGGCAATAGAGCTAGTATTTATGCTAGCTCAGAAGGGACATATTAATGTTCATTGTGCAGCATTAGCTCTGCTTCTTTGACAGAGAAGCTCATAGATCCATCAGCGCTTGGCACCCTGACCAACTGGAAACAACCAGGACCGTGCTACGAGTCTGGAAGACCCAGAATCATGTTCTCATTTCACGAGGCAGCAGCGGGCCCACCTACTGGTCATCGCACCAACATCTGGTCACCGGCGGACCGCTGTTCCTAGCACCCCGGGCGGGCCGCTCCGCCGCGGGCGGGAGGCCGGGCGGCGGACAGACGGGCGGGCGGGGAGCGCGCATGGCCGCCCGATCCCCGGACCCAGATACCCACCCGTGTCGGTGGCGTCCGGTGACTGCTGTCTCCCAGCAGTGCGGACAGCGCGTCACTGTCTAATTGGATGGCGTCAGCAGCACGTTTGCAGAGCGGCGGCCAGCGGTGAGGCTCACGAGCGGCCTGTAATAGCGTCACGAGCAACTCTGAGCGGCCGCTCCCAGCCGGGGGATGTGTCTCCCCGCCGCCTGCACCCCGACCCCGCCGGGCTGAGGCCACCCCAAGCCCGCCTCGAGCCGGCAGCGAGCTCCGATCGGAATGTGATTTGCATGCGTCTGAAGCTTGTGCGGCGCGGTGTTGAGATTGGCACGCAAAGGACGGTAATCGCTGGTTTGTACCGGCATAGGAGAGTGGCCGCCGCCGTGGAGGTGGTGAATATTCGATGTTTAACGCCGCGAACTCGGTGTTTGTCCCACAGTACTGGGAGGCAGGGTGCAGTAGCACACATTCAGTTACAGTGCACCCAAAATCACATCATGCAAAATCTGCTCTGCAAGGAGCAAACAGACTGCCTTTCCACCTATCCAGTGCTGCAGCAGGATCCCCTCGGCCGCAGCAGCAAGACACCTTCAGCAGAGCAGCAGCAGTGGTGGACCTCGCCGAGCCCCGGGGGCTGGCCTTACCGGGCAGGTCGGCGCCGCCGCGAGCCGGTCGCGAGTTATGGGTGGCTGGCGAGCTCGGCGCGGCGGGGTCGTTCATCTCACCAGCTCTGCTGCCCTCTGATCAGCTCGGCCGCCGACGGCATATCAATGCGCCCGAGGCTACACCGCGCCCACCCCTGACCTTTCTGACCTGAGAGGCAGCGCGACATGGTCAGGGATGCTGGAGGGAGCTTGCTACGCGGTATACTGCTAATCTCTTTGGCATTAATGACATTACAGTTAACATTTTGGGGTGCTGCAAACTACTCGCATTTATCGATCAGGAATTTCCAGCAAGGAATATCACGTTGCTAGATAATACCTCGGCACATTTAGTGATAACCTTCAACCATTTCGCGACCACTCCATGGCTTCCATGCTCTGCCCTCGCAGCGTGCGCGTTGAGGGCTTCGGTATCCCATATCCCATCCGGCCGGCCGCGCCCGAGGCCGGGTTTTTGCGGTGGGCTCTCCCCCGCAGTCCATCTGTCTCCACCGGCGCTGTTTACCCAGCCAGGTAGCCGGCGGCGACTCCTCCCTCGCGCCCAGCCATGAATAAGCAATGATTCGTAATGTCGGCCCGCGGACGGGGTCAATCTCGGCGAGAATTCGTCGACGGCCACCGCCGCGAGCGACGAAGCGCGAGGGAAGGCGCTGACGGTGTGGGCAAGGCGGGGCGAGCCGCCGGGCGGGTCCAAGAAGTGTTGATCCGCCCAGCCGCTGGAGCATCGACGAGAGACGAAGTTTGCGTGGGAAATTCAACCCGAACGCGCGCTGCCACCCAATCAGACGAAAAATCCCCTGATGAAAATTTCACAGAGTAAGCCGCTTATGCGGCGGCAATTTGCGATGCGCGGATGGTTTTCGCCTCGTCGATATTGGGAAACGGCTATCGGCTGAATAGAATTTGGCTGCCGAGATTGCGCTGATCCGAGCCAAGCTTGCGTGTGCGGTTCGACGTAGCGCCGAGCAGCCGGGCGGAGAATAGAATTTCCTCGCCAGTCGTTCGCTGAAGAAGACGCATTTTATTTTCTCG